GTCTTGGCTGGTGCTGTGGCCGCCGTGGCTCTCAGCTGGGTGGTGGCTGCGGCAGAGCTGGGCTCGAGGTCTGGGCGTGGTGGGAGTCCAGATGGGGCAGAGATGGAGCCATGAAGACCCCCCCAGCTCGGGGCCAGGGGACGTGGGTGCTGTTCACAGGGTCCCTGCCAGGTGGCCAGTGCCCCCCAGCTTCTGCTGTAGAGGGGTGCCTAGTGCTTTTCACTTGTCTGTCCCGGCCTGGGCCTCTTGGGGGGTCTCTGTGTCTTGGGGGACGGATGGCCTGGCAGTCCTTCAGATTTGGGTCAGTAATGCAGCAGTCTGGCCACACCCAGGGCACCTGGCCAGCCGCTGGGAAGGGGGCTGGGGCAGCGCTGGGCAGGCACTGCTCCCTGAGGGCGGGCGGGCTGGGGGTGAGGAGCTGGAGGCCAGGCACCGTGCAGGGGCCACCCCTTACCCGTCCAGGGAGCTTCTGAGGCCCTTTCTGTAATCCAAGGGCAGAGGGCTGGGTGGGACGTTCGGCCAGAAGGGCCACTACAGCAGGGAGCCTGGGAATAGGGTCCCTTCCAGACCTTACCTGCGCTGTCCAGGGGACCTTCGAGCCCTAGCCAGCAGTGGGAGAGCGGTGAACTCGGAGGCGGAGCCCCCAGCCTGCCCCCTCTGTGGCTGGCCCTGCCTACGTTGCTGCAGAAAAGCCTCCCAGGAGAGGGCCGGGGTCTGTGGTCATAAGATCGCCTCCCGGGAGAGGGCCAGGGTCTGTGGATGTAAGATCACCTCCCGGGAGAGGGCCGGGGTCTGTGGATGCCTCCCGGGAGAGGGCCGGGGTCTGTGGACGCCTCCCGGGAGAGGGCCAGGGTCTGTGGTCGTAAGATCGCCTCCCGGGAGAGGGCCAGGGTCTGTGGACGTAAGATCGCCTCCCAGGAGAGGGCCGGGGTCTGTGGACGCCTCCCGGGAGAGGGCCGGGGTCTGTGGACGCCTCCCGGGAGAGGGCCAGGGTCTGTGGTCATAAGATCGCCTCCCGGGAGAGGGCCAGGGTCTGTGGATGTAAGATCACCTCCCGGGAGAGGGCCGGGGTCTGTGGACGCCTCCCGGGAGAGGGCCGGGGTCTGTGGACGCCTCCCGGGAGAGGGCCGGGGTCTGTGGACGCCTCCCGGGAGAGGGCCAGGGTCTGTGGACGTAAGATCGCCTCCCGGGAGAGGGCCGGGGTCTGTGGACGTAAGACTGTGCTTCCCGTGCGGGTGCTCCCACGCTGGTGTGGGACCCCTCCACACTCCATCTCCCCAGCTGAGGGCCTGGCTTCCTGCTTTTGGCTTTGGCTTTGTGATTCCCTGGTTGGTCTGGGCAGCCCCTTCTGTACCCATCCTCTCTTAAGGAATGGGGCCAGAGGCCCTTGCCGCAGCTCGGGTAGGAAACCTGGCAGACTAGAGGTCCTGGGGTTCTGTCAACATGCTGGTTCCCAGGCCCTCCCCATTCCTGCACCCGGGCACCGGGACGTGCATTCCTGACAAGGACACTCTGCTTTCACGCTGTTCCCAGCGGCACGCCACTCCCTGCAGGCTTTTTGCCTTTGCCTTTCGGCCCAACCCAGCCGTCCCCTTATTCTCTGGTGCTCCCCCCCATCAAAGGCTGTTAGATGGTACCCACAGTACCCACAGCCCAAGGGACCTAGGACCTTCTCCCCAGCTGTGCTGAGTTTGCCCCCTGGTGGCTGTGCTGGGAATGGGCTGGGGGCCCTGCACAGAGAGCCTCCCCATCCCAGCGTGCCTGCTCGGCTCCTTTACCGCCGCCGTGGGATGGGACACTGCACAGGGCTCCTGCCTGGACACCGGCGCAGTTAATCCCCACCGACTCCGGTGTCCCACCTCTCCCATCTCAGGACAGGCCAGTACCTTCCCAGAGGCAGAACTGAGTTCTGGGAGCCTGCGCCACGGCTTCTGTCCTGAAATCTGCAGGTGCCTGCCAAGGCCTGGGCTCTTCCCAGGGTGTAGTGACACTCTGAAGGACCTCTGGGAGGTGCTTCCCCTCTGAAGTGTGGGGGTCACGGAGGGGAACAGTCCAGGGGCAGGGTGCTGTGGCCCAGGTGTGGCCAGATGGCTACGTTGGAGCTAGAGCGGTGGGCTCCCTGGCCAGCTTGTCCACCGTGGTGGGGACGCTGAGGCGGGAGCGCGGAGGTGAGCTCTGCACCCCGCTGAGGTGTCTGCAGCCTCCAAGGCTTCAGGTGAGCCATGTGGCACGTCTGGTCTGCCAGCTCACCTGATGCACAGACAGAGGAGCAGAGGGACGGCAAGTCCCTTCTCACCACTGAGCGGGCTGCAGGCTTGTCAGGGCGACCCCCCGGCTTGAGTGAGCAGGCTGCAGGCTTGTCAGGGCGACCCCCAGCCAGAGTGAGCGGGCTGCAGGCTTGTCAGGGCGACCCCCGGCCTGAGTGAGCAGGCTGTTGGAAGCCACCCGGACCTGGCTGTGTGTTCCTGCAGCACCCTGAGCTCATTCTCCAGAGGAGGGTCAGGCTGGCTGGCCCGGGGTGGATTGGGTGGCCTCCCGGCCTCTGACTCCTTCTACAAGCTTGGGACTGTCTACTTGGTGCAGACGGGGACGGGCTGGGCCCGGGGATGGATGGGAGGTCACGCTGGGGCGGTTTCTGGCCTCCTGCGCCCAGGCAGCTGGGCCCCTGCCCTGCCCTGGCTTGTGGCCGAGCCTGCAGCAGGAATGCCCACGCTTCCTTCTCTGTCTGGACAAGCTCCTCTGTCCTGAGCCAGGCTGGCTGCTGGTGATTCTGGAAGTGCCAGGATTACCAGGCTGATCCCTAGTGCACGCTTCCCCCCTTCCCCCTCCCCCCCCCCCGGTCTCTCCTCTGTCTCCTCTGTCTCTTCTGTCCTGGGGCTTGAACTCTAGGCCTGAGCACTGTCCCTGAGCTTCTTTTACTCAAGGCTAGAGCTCTACCACTTGTACCATTTCTGGCTTTTTCTGAGTAGTTTATTGGAGACAGGAGTCTCTCAGCCTTTGCTGACTAGGCTGGCTTTGAACTGCAATCCTCATATCTCGGTCTTCTGAGTAGCTGAGATGACAGGTGTGAGCCACCAGCCCTGGCTCCCTAGCTTCTTCTGGAACCTGTTGGTGCCTTTCTTCCTCTCGTGGCTCTGTGTGGGTTCCCACTAAGGCTGGCCTGCACAGGGAGTGAGGCCCCGGGTGAGGAGGCCCTGAGCCCCAGCAGCTGGAGTGGGGTGTGGTCCGCCCAGGGTCCCCTGCCACCTACCCCAGGACTGAGAAGCTTAGCTGCTGGCGCTCAGAGATGCAGGGGTGTGGGTGGATCCGCATCTCTGCTGTGCATGCATCTCCTGTGCATGCTGGGTGCTTGGCAGGTCCCTCTCGGCACAGGGACTCACCCACGGTTCACTGGGCAGCCAGTGAGCACTGCTGCAGGGTACCTGCCCTCAGCTGCACGGGGCAGTGGAGGCGGCTTCCCAGAGGAGGGGTCTCACCATGGAGACCGGAAGCTGTTACAGAAAGGCAGGGTAGAGAAGAAGACACAGTGCTGAGGCCAGTGGGAGTGGTGGCTTGGCAGGTAGGGCTGGCGAGGTGGTGGGGCCGGAGCTGGGCAGAGGGCTGTGTTCAGAGAGGCTCAGAGCCCACCAGGCAGTGCAGTTCCCATGGAGTGATAAGCCTGAGTCTGGGGGAAAGATGGGTGTGGGCAGGAGGAGGCGAGGCTGGCTGAGCCTGGAGGGGACCTGGCATGGGCAGAGCCTTCGTGGGGCACTGTGAGGCCCGCATGCTTCCTGGCCATCCCCTGACCAGCAGGGGATCTGCCAGGGGATCTGCCCGCCCTGCCTGCCCCTGCCTCTCCCTCTGGGTTTCCCTTGATTTTTCTTTCTTTGGAAGCCGTCGGTCTGTGGGAGCCATCGCCTGCCTTGCTGGGATACATATTTAATAGTCAGAAGCTCCTTCTCAAGTGGAAAGTTGGCGCTGAGCCCAGGAGGCTGTGCTCCCCATCCACACGCCCCAGATGGAGGCCAGGACAGCAGGCTGCGCTCCCCCTACCTGCCCCATGCCCAGGTGGCAGGGAGGAGGCAGCTGCGGGGCCTGCCTGGCCCGGCCCCTGGGGTGTGGGCCCCCCAGGTCCAGCTCGGGGCTGCGCAGGTGCTGGTGACTCAGTTCCACCCCATCGGGCCGTGGCCTCCCTTTGCTAGGGGCTCTGCCTCACATTGCTGGGCTGGGGCTCTTGTCCCTTTTCTAAGGGCGGTGTCCTGGAGGCCCCTCCCTGGCAGGCCTCTGGCGGAGGCGGGAGGCGGCGCTCTGTGGTAGCATGCCTCCTGCAGTTGCCCCGCTCCACACTTGGCTCTTGCTGTGTGATTGATTCACTATCAGCTGTCCCAGGCTCCACCCAGCCCCTGCCAGTCCAAGTTCCCACGGGAACTCAGAGCCAGGCCCGGGGGCTGGGGGGCTCTGAGCCTGTGCTCTGGCAGTCAGGAGCCCCTCTGGACACCCAGGCCCGGGGGCTGGGGGGCTCTGAGCCTATGCTCTGGCAGTCAGGAGCCCCTCTGGACACCTAGGCCAGGGGGTTGGCAGTGTGCAGTTGCTGTCCCACCGACCCACACCTGCCTGACCACCGAGCCAGCGCCAGGGGGCTTCCTGGGAGCTGAGAGGCAGGAAGGCCTTTTGGGAGATGGGGAGTGGGCTGGGCTGTAGAACACCAACTAGGAGCAGGGGAGGACGGGCACCCTGGCTCTTGCCCTCCTGTGCTCAGAAGCCTAGGATTCTAGCCTGGCCCCTTCCCTCCTGCCCATACCCCTACCCCCCACAGTACTGGAGTCTTGAACTCAGGGTTGTGCACTCAAGTGGTACTCTACCACCTGAGCTATGCTCCCAACACTTTTTTTGTAGGTAGTGGGGCCTGAACTCTGGGCCTGGGCGCTGTCCCTCGGCTCTTCAGCTCAAGGCTAGCGCTCTACCACTTGAGTCACAGCGCCACTTCTGGTTTTTGTCTTTTTGCTTATGTGGTGCTGAGGAACTGAACCCAGGGCCTCATGCATGCAAGGCAAGCGCTCTACCACTGAGCCACCTTCCCAGTATTTTTTTTTTTTTTGCCAGTCATGGGGCCTGAACTCTGGGCTTGGGCGCTGTCCCTCAGCTCTTCAGCTCAAGGCTAGCGCTCTACCACTGGAGCCACAGTGCCACTTCTGGCTTTTTCTGCTTATGTGGTACTGAGGAATCGAACTCAGGGCCTCAGGCATGCAAGGCAAGCGCTCTACCACTGAGCCACCTTCCCAGCCCCCCCCCCAGCACTTTTTGCTTTAGTTATTTTCTGCCTGGAACCTGGATCCTCCTCCTCATGCCTCCATGTAGCCAGGATGGCAGGCGCCCCACGACACAGAGATGACTTGTTGAGCTAAAGGCTCACTAGCTGTTAGCCAGTGCCGGCCTGGCCTCTACCTGCGACCTTTCCTGTCTCTGCCTCTCGAGTCGCCGAGTTGACGGGTGTGGCCACTGTGCCTGGTCTTACCCTCAACAGTGAGCCTTGGAGCCAAGTCTGCAGTGCCAGCCACCCAGCTTCTGAGCTGTGTGTGCCGGGCATCTGAGAGTTGAGGTGCTGGTGACAGTGCCTTTTTGGGGAGGTTTTAGCGTCCTTGGGAGGCCTGGGCTCTGCCCTGGCAGCAGGCGGGCCTGCAGCACTCCCCCCCAGCCCCCCATTGGCTGTGAGGTGGCACAGCGGCCTGGTCCCGAGTCCTGGGGAGGCGCCAGGGAGCCAGGGGAGGTGGCAGGAGCAGGAGATGCATTGTTGCCTGTGGGCAGCTGGGTGAGACGTCTTGGACGCCAGGCTAGGGGAGGAGGTGGAGTCCTCTCCAGCCGCAGCCGGCTCAGCCAGCCCCGGGTGTGGGCGGCCCGTGGGTGTCAGGGGATAAACACTCTCAGTGAGAGCCGCCCGGGAGGGGCTGCAGCCAGCGCCAGGGAGCCTGGACAGCCTGCTCCTCAGCGTGCGGACAGTCATCTGTGTGTGATGTTCAGCTTTGGGGACCATTAGTTTTTGTTTTGTTTTGTTTTTGCCAGTCCTGGGGCTTGCACTCGGCCTGGGCACAGTCCCTGAGCTTTGTTTGCTCAAGGTTAGTGTTCTACCACCTGAGCCAGAGCACCACTTCTGGCTTTTTCTGTGTATGTGGTGCTGAGGAATGGAACCCAGGGCTTCATGCACGCTAGGCGAGCACTCCACCACTGAGCCGCCTTCCCAGCCCGACTGTTAGGTTTTTAGGGCAGGATCGTGGGAGACCTGGAGGTCAGGTGTGGGTCCCTCACCTGGGCTCCTCCCTGCGGAGCCCTGGCCTGCCGGGGCCTCCTGCTGCTGCCTCCAGGCCTCCGGTCCGAGGGGAGGCCTTGCTCCCTCAGCCTCCAGCTCAGGGCAGCCGTGGCTGACTGCGCCTGGGGAGTTGGGCACAGAAGTGGGCACAGGCCTTTCCTGTGTGGGCCTTGCCTGACCCTCACTGCGGGCCGGGCCAGCTCTCAGCGGAGGGCTGTAGTGAGGCTCAGGTGCTGGGCTAGCAGGCCCCACCCCATGGCGCAGGCGCAGGTGCAGGGTGTGGAGACTTGGGATCTAGCAGATCTATGGCTGGCACAGGGCACGGGCGTTGCCCAGGCCTGCTGGCCAGCCAGAGCAGGGCGAGGTGGGGCTGGGAGCTGGGGACAGCAGGGGGAGGTATTGGGAAGGGAGGGGGAGGCAGAGCAGCTGCAGCAGTGGATGGCGGGAGGGGACATGGGGCCCGGCTTGGGGTGGGGCTTCTCAGGTACCACCTGTGCCCCAGCAGCGGGGGCAGGGGGCTTGCTAAAAGCACAGTGGGCCCTGCCACACCTGGCTGTGCATTGCTGGAGGCCTCGGTGTCTGCTGGGTGCTGGGACGGTGGGTGGCAGCCCTGAGCCAGGGATTGTGCGCGCTTTTCCCTCCCTGAACCGCTCCCCCCCCAGCCCCGAGCCTCTACCCCAGGGAAACTGAGGCGCGGAGCCTGGACCAGGAGGCCCTGCGTGGCTGTGTGTGGGTCCCCAGGAGGGCTGGGCTGCCTTGGTGACTCACAGGAGAGCAGGCAGGCGTTTCCTGGGCCGGCTGCCTGGGCTGGGGGGACTGGGGAGCCTGGGCTGGGGGGCTTGGGCTGGGGGGGATGGGAGGCCTGGGCTGGGGGGCCT